CTCTGTAGACCAGGCTGGCCCTGAACTCAGAGATCTGCTAGCCTCTAACTTCCGAGTTGCTGGGATTAAAGAGTTGCTGAGATTAAAAGTGTGGGCCACCACACTCATCCCCATGCTCTCTTCTGACCTATAGCACACACATACAATAAAGTAAAACAATATAAACAAATAAATCAAATAAACAATGAAGCCAGAATGGAGTAGAGAACCCAGCCCACTCTTGGGTGTTTGGCTTGCTCCAGGCCCTACCGATCAGATCAGTGAGTGTGGGCAAGGGATTACCTCTCGTGGTCCCGGGCCGGGTCTTGGCTCTCCCAACTGAGTTTGGTACTGATTCAGAGCCTTTTTGGCAGCCTCATCCTCTGGGTAGAAGAGCAGGACACTCAGGGCATTTTCCATGGCCTTAGACACATTCCCCACTGGAGATGGGGGAAGGTGGGGAGGGGACAGCAACAATCAGGACAGAACAAAGAAAGCTGCCGGTCACCTGGAAAGGCCACCAGCTCCCAGAAGCCCCAAGGCATCCTTAAACATACCTTTCAACAGCAGAGCTCAAAGAAGAGGAAGAGGGGAGGAAATAAAGGAAATAAAGGCAGGTGAGAAGCAACAAGGGCTGAAGGACCCAGCGCCCCATCTGAGCTTTGCACAGTGGTGTCAAAGGACCCCATCCTGAAGCGTTGGTCCCCAGGGGCCCTGACAGTGGAACTATCAGTGCAGAGTCAGGTGGGGAAAAGGAGGGACAGACGGGCTTCAGAATGGCAGCAGAGACACATCTTCCCTCCAGGGTCCACCCTTCCCAAGCTGACCCTGAGCATAGGCCTCATGCAGTCCCCTCAGCTGGCTGGGAAGGAAGTCAGGGACAGGGAAGCTGCGACCAGGACGGGTGGCTGCATCTGCCACACAGTGCTGCCGGCACAGCAGAACCCGGATCCAGTGTCCTGCAGAGAAGGCAAACGAGCCGTGGGTTGTGCATGGTCCTCCCCGGCATCCGTGCTCTCCCACAGCACACAGTCCAGCCCCTCATCTGTCGTGGAATATTATTTTAGATGTGCTACATTTGTTTCTGCTGGGGAACATTTGTTTAATGATGCAAAGATGTGTTGCATTCTTTTATGTTGCATTTGTTTAACTCTGTGAAGCTGTGTTCCTTTGCCTGCCTAAAACACTTGATTGGTCTAATAAAGAGCTGAATGGCCAATAGCAAGGCAGGAGAAAGGACAGGAGGGGCTGCCAGGCAGGGAGAATAAACAGGAGAAAAGGAGGGATGAGGAAGCAAGAGATTTAGGAGCAAGAGAAGGAGGAGGACTCCAGGGGTCAGCCACCCAGTTACACAGCAAACCATGGAGTAAGAAGGAAAGAAAAGATATAGAAATAAGCCGGGTGGTGGTGGTGCAAGTCTTTAATCCCAGCACTCGGGAGGTAGAGCCAGGCAGATCTCTGTGAGTTCAAGGCCAGCCTGGTCTGCAGAGCAAGAGCCAGGACAGATACCAAAGCTACACAGAGAAACCCTGTCTCGAAAAACAAACAAGCAAACAAACAAAAAATATACAGAAATAAGAGAGGTAAAAGCCCAGAGGTAAAAGGTAGACAGGATGATTTAAGTTAAGAAAAGCTGGCTAGAAACAAGCCAAGCTAAGGCCAGGCATTCATAAGAAATAATAAGCCTCCATGTGTGATTTACTTGGGAGCGGGGTGGCGGGCCCCCAAAAGAGCTAAAGAGCAAAAGAGTAAAAACAACCAACTACACTCACCTGCAATGGCTTCATACAGGCCCCCCTGGCTCCCTTCCTCCTCCTCCTCCTCTCCAGCCCCCTGTTGTTCCTCAGGCCCCTCACAGCCGGCTCGGCAGCTCTCCATATGGGCCAGGCTCCCTTGGAGGGCCTCCTCTAGCTTGGGCAGTGCCAGGGCTGCCTCCTGCTGCCCCAGTAGCTCCAGGCCAGTGTCATAGGCTGCCTGTGGGGAAAGGGAGCAAGGTCAAGGTCGGTGTGTGTGTGGGGTGTCAAACAAGATTGGGAGGTCAAAGGGCATGGTGGCATATGCTTTTAATCCTAGCCCAAGGAGGCAGAGACAATTGGATCTCATTGACTTTGAGGCCAGCCTGGTAGACAATAGTGAGTTCCAGGACAGCCAAGGGCTACACAGTGAGACCCTGTTTCAAAAAGAAAGATAGGCCAGGCAAAAGTGGTAGCACAGGCCTTTAATCTCAGCCCTCTGGAGGCAGAGGCAGGCGGATCTCTGTGAGTTCGAATGTGAGTTTGAGGCCAGTCTGGTCTACAGAACAAGTTCCAGCACAGCCAAGGTAACACAGAAACTCTGTCTCAAAAAAAAATAAAAATAAAAAAAACAAAACCGAGAGAGAGAGAGAGAGAGAGAGAGAGAGAGAGAGAGAGAGAGAGAGACTGTGAGAGAGAAAGGGAGATGGAAAAGGAATGGGCTTATTTGGAGCATGAAATGCCTGTCCTGCTGCATGGACCTGAAGGAAGAACGATGTGCCCTCAGAACATTAGAACAGCACACACTTTAGTGGCCACAGAGGAAGCTGACTACCAGGGCGAGACTCTTCACCCAGGGCCACTGAGCAACAGTACCCAGACCTCCTGATGCTCAAGATGCACAGGGCTGGAGATGGCAGCAGCCAGCCAGTCCTGAGAGGCTCACCCAGTACAGGGGCGTCTCCAGATCCTGGAAGCTCTGGGGTCGGATCCCAGACATTCTTCTGTACTTAGCCATGTCTTCCCGCATCTGCAAGTGGGTTGGGTTTGCCACAAAGAAGGTGTGTGCTGCAGAGGCTGCCAGGCCCAGCTTCTTCAGCTGAGGAGCCAAAGGGATGAGATGTCAGAGCCCGGAGGTGTAGGGGGACGGGGTTCAGACCAATGTCCCTTCACCAACCTCCTCCAGAGCCTCATGGAAGCCCAGCCTAGCAGAACTGTCCCAACTAGAAAGCACCAAATCCCTTGGAAGCCAGAATGTTGGGGTTCCCAGGACTCTGGTACAGAAAGAAAGGAGGTTTGAAAGCTTTGGAGTGGGTGGGCCATGGGCAGAGGACCTCAGGGTCTCAGTTTGGGAGACAATGAAGTGAATGGCTGAACTAGATGGGGCAGCAGGCAAGACCTTGAGTGACTAGAATCTGCAGGCCTCTAGGACCCTGAGCTGAGGTGTGTGTAACTAGAGGCCCGCCCTCCTCCAGCCACGTAGGCATTAGCTACCATTAGCAGTCTCCTGCCACAGAGCCAGATTTCAGCCTCAGTGGCGCTTCCTCCTCCAAACCTAGCCTCCCTCATTCAGCCTTTCCGAAGCTCGGTCCTGCCCCAAGAGAAGACTCACACTCCAACTCCCACTCCTGAACATAACGTACACACACACTTCCTGTCCTGGGGCTGGTTTGGGCCCCTCACCCTCTGTTTTTCATACCTAGGAAGAGGCTGCGTTCACTCACCGAGACCCGCTAAAATAAAACTGCGGAGCCCTCCCTCCATGTTCGATCTACTCCCACTCCTCTTCATTGCAGCTTCACGCCCTACTCTCTTTTGGCCCTCCCTCCGCGACCATCACAAGTCCTGGCCGCCCTTTTGATGGTACCCACTCAAATGTTATCCCGTTATCCGCGCCCCCAGGACTCCAGCCCTGAGTCCGGGCGCTGAGCATCCTGCCCTCTCCTGGTTAGCTCCAAGCAAGACAGCCACCCGGCTTGGGGTAGCACCCTCGCTGGCTCCGGCACCTGGTAGTAGGCCCTCTGCAGGTAGTTGTAAGGCTCCCGTCGGCGGAAGGCATCCCGCAGCGCGCTCCCCACTCGGAGTCTCGCCGTACCCCCCGGGCCCAGCCTGCGTGCCGCGCACTGGGTCAGGCACTCGGCGCGGCGGAGCGTGGCGCGCAGGAGCAGCGGCTCCCAGGCCCCGGGCCCCGAGGCAGGCTGCGGGTC